CGTGCACTCAGTATGAGTTGATTCTTGACATGACTCCGGTCTGTTTGTCGGGTTCGCATATTAGGTTCTTTTAATCAGCAACAATGTTGATCAGTGGATCTAGTTGCTCAATAATTCCTGACAATAAATGACAATATAAGTATGACTGTATAATGAATAGATCAAATTGACAAAGTTTGTTAAGGCAAAATATTGTACTGGCAAAATATTGCAGGTGAGCTGCGACTACGCCGGCGGAGTCACCTCCGACCAACTTGATCTTCATGCTAAACCATCCAAATCTGTACTTTTGTTTCGTTTGAAATCCATAACATGTGTCTTTGTTGAGGGAAAGATACCAGATCTGCTTATCTTCTGAAGTTGTAAAATGGTCGTCAGACCACGAAATTATCCTTGAAAGAACTTTTTGGGGCTGCCTCTGATGAAGAACAACAAAGAGCAGCCATGGTATTATGGGTCTTTGGATATGGTTCACTTGTATGGAACCCAAGATTCGAGTACGACGAGAAAGTGATAGGTTACATCAAGGACTACACGCGTGTGTTTGATCTTGCATGCATTGATCATGGAGGTACACTTGAGCACCCTGATGCGAAAATTAACTTAACACACAAATTTAACCCTCTTTTGACAACTGTAGTATAAGTATAAGTAGGGATCGTTCTGGACCGGGGATTAGGAGGGCTTGCTAATAACCTCTAAACTGACTCAAAAACATAAAACTAAACTTAAAAAATACTTAACAAGACTCACAAGACTCAAAGCAAACTTAAAATACTCAAAACATCTTAAAACAACTAAATAAACTTAAACTAGACACTAGGAATGACCTTGGGCGAAAATTGACTTTTACTTGAATCAAAACATTTAAAAACACAAATTAAAACAGATTCTAACTAATTAGACACACTAAAGTAAAGGGGGATTGAGTTTTGGATAAAGTTGAAACAAACAAACAAGTATGAAAAACTAGACAGATTGTAAAACAAATTTGAGAAATAAGATGATGGATGGGATAGCTAGAGGCTTTTTCTCCACACATGACATGTATGCAAATACTTAATTTCCAGTTACTACTTCATTGAATTATGAACGACAATGCTCCAAATTAACCGTGACATCACTAGTTAACCCTCAGATTTTCCTTGTTTTATTGGATTGGATTACATCATTCGACAACCCAAAACATTCTTCAAAAGTTCTCTACATGACATCATAATAGAGATACAATCAAAGATCATTACGTTTAATGAAAATCATAAGCATTGACAAAGCATTTGCAACTATGACATCATGTCACTCATGCTAGGAATTAAACTTAACGCGATCGTTTATAAGCGACCTCCACTACTTATGAATATAAGTTTGTAACGATTATGTGAAACTTTCTTATATTCTAGCATCGGATTTATGCATGCCAATTAAGTGTCGACCCTTAATTAACAAATACAAATAAGTTATCAATCAAATAGTTAAGCCAATTGCATTCACGATTCAATAGTTCATAACTGGAATTTATCAAATTATATTGCACACATAATCATGGCTTTGAAATCACCCCTAGCCAAAAGGGGTTTAGCCACTCATATTTACAACAAAACGAAAGGAAATGAATTTAAACATTAGAAACAAAAGAAAGAAAACACCTAAACGCTCTAACGATCCAAGTTGGACAACAAGCATGTCCAAGCACTTTCCTTCCCTTCCTTTGCTACGGCACAAGATGTTGGTGAGTGTTTGAAGGTTTGTTTGTATGGAGGAATGGATGTGAAGATGAATGGATGTGTTTGGATGAAGGTTGTGTTGAAATGGGAGTGAATGATCTAACAAACTATGAACTCAATTTATGTTACACACATTTCCTTTTATAGAGGAAGTGCAAGGCAATGGAGGGGGACATGGAGTGGTGTTGAAATGATTCAAAGGTGAAAGTGAAATAATGATGCAAAGCATGGGTAAAATGGAGTGGTGTTGAAATGATTCAAAGGTGAAAGTGAAGTAATGATGCAAAGCATGGGTAAAATGGAGTGGTGTTGAAATGATTCAAGGGTGAAAGTGAAGTAATGATGCAAAGCATGGGTAAAATGGAGTGGTGTTGAAATGATTCAAAGTAATGATGCAGGAAATTTGAAATGATGGAGGGAACAAGGAATTGTGTAGCAATTAAGTGCAATGAGGGAACATGGATGATGATAAGGTAATCTTGACTCATGTTTCTTATTTGGTTGTTGAGCTCTTTGTCATTTTACATTAATTCTTCTTTCTTTTTAACACATTCCAAGCCTCTTTAGTTTTCCATTTCGTCTATCCACCTTGCTTCATGCATGTGCTATCCATTCCAAGCCCAAAACTGCTCCAAAATGCACCAAAATGCACCTTATTGCTGTATAAGGCCTATGGACCTACAAACACACGAAAATAGCTTAAAATACATAATTAACTTAGAAATAACAACATAAATGCATGAGAACAAGCTAACTCAGTCGCATAAATATGCTCCTATCACACCCTGCTCGGACTTGCACTTTGGATTACCAAGAAGGAGTTGTCTTTGAGAGATTTTGAAGAGGTTGCTGCCGTCGGGGCTGTTGTCAGCGGCGATGATGTGCAAGGGGTGGAGGGAGACGAGGATGAGGTTGTGGAAGGCGGCGGAGATGCTTAGGATTAGGGTTCCGACAAGGGCACATCCTCCTCATCTCATTTCTTCGAATGACAGCGTTGGGTTCACCCTGGATCACCATATACTTCATCGCTGCTGCTGCTACCTTCTTTGGTTTCGGTGGAGCTCACCACAGACTCGACAGGGGAGTTCATGGTCGAGTTGGAGTCAAACGAGTCAAACGCGTAGAGGAACTCAGTGGGGAAGCTGATGCGGGATTTGAGGCAGTTCCAGCAGAAGATGTGGTCTTTGTTGCTGTCGTCCATGTTGCAGTGGAGCACGACGTCGTCCGTGAGGAAGTGGGAATGGAGATGGATTCTCTGGAAAAGCTTTGGGTTCCTGGGTTGTGCAGATTCACGATGGACAGACAGCAACAAAGACCACATCTTCTGTGAGGACTTTGGTACAACAGTTGATGCACAAAATTGAGAGAGAAATTGAGAGAGAACCGACATAGCTTTTCGTGTCGTTTCCCACAGACGGTGCCAAATGTTGATGCACAAAATCAGTGAGGACTTTGGTACAACAGAAAGTGTTAAGTTTGTGACATTCGCTAGATTGCTCCGGTCACTAGTGTGGATAAGTATGTAAATGGATAGGGACAGGGAAACAAACACAAGATGTACGTGGTTCACCCAGATTGGCTACGTCCACAGAGTAGAGGAGTTCTCATTAATTGTGAAGGGTTTACACAAGTATATAGGTTCAAGCTCTTCTTTAGTGAGTACTAGTGAATGATTTGGTACAAATGACATTAGGAAATATTGTGGGAAAATGATCTCCTTTTATAGAAGAGAGTTTCTAGCTTTGTTCTGACATTGACACGTGTCATGTTGTGATTGGCTTCTGATGTTGACACATGTTGCGCTATGATTGGCTTTTGATGTCGACATGTGTCGCGCTGTGATTGGCCTCCTGGTTGGAGGGAAACTCTTCTAGGTCTTTAACGGTATAACGTTGACCGGTGCTCAGTAGTTTCAGGATTGGTCAAGTATGGTACAAACAAACTCTATTACAAAATACTCGACTGTTCTATTTATACCAATTCAAAGGCGGCTACTCAAATATTTGTTCTCACGATATATTAAATGAGTCTTGTTGGTCAAATTGATGAAGTGCTTAGTCATATGTGGGTAAATATTCTCAAAGTAAACAACTAAACTTTTGGAAAAAAAAAAAAAGCCCAACTAAACTAGCACTCAACTAACCGGGCAAATTACTTGAACTTGATTCAATAGAGTCTAAAGTAATACAAATCACACTAAAATGATCTTAAATTTATTTCAGATGATGGGCATATTGATCATGTACTAGATATGGGGACCTCATGGGCTTTTCGCACAACAAATTCCACGGGAAGCCTAACCTAATTAACATGATTTAATTTGTTTGAGTTTTCTCTTAATATATATCTAATTAAGAATACAATTTTTTTTTCTTCTCAAATAAAAAAAAAAGAATACAATTTTTTAAGGGAATTATTGTTCGCACTGTAAAATTTTTATTTTGCACTCCAAATTTTCTATAATTAAAAAGAATATTGCATGCAGTTATGAAGAATGTAGAATGAGATTTTTTGAGTGTTAATAACAATTTTTTTTTTAAATATCACAAGTTTCTTTAATATATATAGACACTGTTTTGTTAATACCATAATTTTATTAGCTATAGTTTTATTTTTTTTGAGAACTTTTTATTAGCTATAGTTTGGTTTAAACTTATTATACATGGATTTATATTTAACTATCACAAGTTTAAAAGCAAGTTTGTTATGCTAACTTATCAAGTACCAATCACTTCATTGCCAACTTACTTTTTTTTTTAATGGGGGAAATGATAAGCCACGGTTATCCACCTCTTTTAGGCCCAGAGAGGCTATGATGAATTTCACCCTGCTTGTGGCCACAATCAAGCAAACTCACCAGCTCGGCAACATCAAACCCGTTGTTTATTGGGGAGTCGCAATCTACGCCTTTACCATTGGACCACTTATTGTGTTTCATTTCAACTTATCATGTAAAGGATATTGACTATCTTTTTTTTTTCTTTTTTTCTTTTTCCTTTTCCGAGGGGTTAAAAACGTAAGTATCATAGTCAAATATTTTATTTTATTTTATTTGTATTTCTAAGATAATATCTTGTCTGCTACCTCTCGTAGTACCACTGCAATTTGTTTTCTTACTACTCGGTATGATGCATTACATAAATATAAGCATGCAAATCTATGTATTAGATCAATAAAATTTTTTTTTATGTATTACAGTTTACTTACAAGAAATAATCCAAGAAAAATGAAATGACATTAAGGCAGATAGCTCAAATACAGGAAAATAAACAACACAAGACTAAACATTATTGATGCAGAATTGTATTATTGTACGTAAATAGAATTTACCGTTGTAATAGTTACAATACCATTCACTAATATGCAAACATAATCAACTGTTGCACACTCGAGCATCATGCAGACTGATATTAATATATATTTGGATCCTTATATATCAGTCATGAAGATGAAGTCCCATGATTATTTATAAACACATACAATATCATTCCTCTCATCAATGTGAGATTTATTCTCAACCATTTATAAATCTTTTGTTGTATTAAACACCTGCGGCGGAAGCCAATGGAACCTGCATGCAGCTGCAGTATTCTGCAAGAGCCATTAACGGGAAAGTAATGCAATAATTTGCGTAGTGTAACATGCAATTACTAAAGAAACCACCTGTCAATTCCTGCAAAAAAAAAAAAATTAAAATTAAAGTTAGTTAGAATGGTAGTTTAATTATTTATTTTCCGCTCCTCCACTTGCATAGTTGCATATCAGTGAATGCATATTATTTTTAAGAAAAAAGCTAATTAACCATCATTATCCAATATTTATATATGAGAATATGACTTTAATCCTTTGAAACTTAACTTTCGTTAGATAAAATCAAACATTAACTTTTTACTTTAAAACTTATTGACTAGGCTCCACACAAGCAAATACATTAATTATGTTTGACTTCACCAATTGTACATTTTCGAATGCCTAAAATACCCTTAATAACATTTTTTACCTATACAATTAATTGTATACGAATTAAAAGGTGGATTAATGATTCTTGAAAAGACAAATAAGCATTAATATGTCTTCATACTGTGATTATAAGTAGCTAAAAAAGGTCAAGAGGAGTAATTAGAATTTAATGCCCATATTATGTGGGCATGATTGAAGTCAAAATTGGAGGGTTGTGTGAGAAAACGTTAGAAGGGTAGTGGCATATGTTGTAAATTATCTGAAGTAATAGGTCAATTAATTTTTAACATGGCATCAAATTTGAATTTTGGGTTTATATTGGATGTTTAAAGATAAATGAGTTTTTATTTAAAAATCACGAGTTGTATGAGTCTATATCTAAAAAAGGTCGTACCCAGTGCACAAGGCTCCCGCTTTACGCAGGGTTTGGGAGAGGTGAATGTCGGCTAGCCTTACCCCCATTTATGGAGAGGCTGCTCCCAAGTCTTGAACCCGAGACCTACCGCTCATGGACGAAGGCACTTGCCATCGCACCAAGTGCGACCTCTTTGTATGAGTCTATATCTAAAGAACATAAATATTCATTTTTCCTCTGAGAAATGATTATCTAGCAGCATAGAAAGCGGTACCTGTTGAGGGAATCCACCGTTCTCCATCTGAGAATTGATTAACAGCTTCGCAGCACGGTGAAGAGGAGTCGGGTCTCTTTCTGCCTATTACAATTTTATAAAACAAGTGTTAATTAATGCTTAATAGCTGAATGAAATTTTGTTTACGAGACTATTTTTAGTTTTTTAAAAGTCATTAGTTCACCTGCTGGGCATGAATTAAACCCATTAAAGCCCATGCAGTTTGTACTAAGTTTGATCTTCTTCCTTCGAGTGGTATTAATTTCTGCATAACAATAAAGAACCAAGCCATTTCTGCTGCTTAGAGAAGACACAAAATTTCTGGTGTTTTTCACTATGCCAACTAGCCAAGATAACCGAACACCATTGTTTGGGCATGAAATCCTAGTTACCTTGTTTGGGCATGAAAGGTAGCTCTCTCCCCATCCACCATCATCTCCTTGGGTTGTAAGTAGAAAGCGAACACCATTGCGCATAGCCGGACAATTGTAATAAGTTTTTCCAGCAGCTGCCAAACCTTTAAGCGCAAACCATGCACCGTATGTGAAGCAAATTCCCCAAACTGCATACCTGTAATGATTTCCCATATGTAATTAATTTCATTTTCTTTTTACCAAAGTAAATAGAGGATTAGGCGATGTTAGCTCCTCAGTATTAATCTGAATGGTGCCCACAATCCCTATTATCTTAACAAACCTATAGCAGAGAAGTTGTGATAGGTTATGAAGATAAGAAGCAACAGCACAAGGAAGACAAAAATCCCACCCAAATGGTTTCAAATGTTTAAGTGTCAAAGAAATGTTTGGAACAAATTTTAAACCTTCAAATGCACAGAGCATACCATGAACCATCAGGGTTTTGTGTGTCTTCAAGATATTGTGCAGCGCGAACAATAAATTCTTCTATCTCTTCCTTCCTATGCTCAGGATGTAACTTTTTGAACAAAACCATAGTTTGTAATGCCGAGGAAGTGAGCTCAACATACCTAGATCAGTTATGGTTTAATTATTTTATTTGGAGCCAAGAATATGAAGAAAAGATTAATGAAATGAAGAGCAAGATCAGGATCTTACTCATGCTCAATGACGATGTTCTCAAGAAAATCCACGGGATTAAGCATCTAGAAAGAGACAAATTAAAAAGACAACTTGTAGTGATATATGCTACATAAAATGTAAATTGTATGCTTACTCCCAATTACCATACCTCCAACCATGATGGAGCTCCTGCTGGCTCCCATATTGATACACCACCATTTTTACTCTGCATATGAATAATTCATAGAACCTTCTCTTTTCATCCATTAAAGTAATGGAACTTAAGGAAAGCCAGAGTACCAGAAAAGGAAAGACTTCAGAAAAGCACTAAACACACCTGCATAGTGAGCAGGAAGTTAACAGCATCATATCCTCGCTCCAGTTCGATTTTATCACCAACAATTTCTGATGGCATCATTGAGAGTAGTAGGCAACACTGTGTACAAGAGAATATATCATACAGAGTTTTGAAGTAAGATGTATTGCATGCATTTTCAGAAGCTTATAAATTCTCAATATGGTTTAATTGTTGCTTTACCTTCAGATTTTCTGAAAGGGAATCAGAAGCTGGCAATCCGTGATCTTGATCAGACAAAGTCCATGATCCCTTCGAAGTGCATCGAAACATGCTCTTAAAATCACCAACAGGATTATCCCTCACCTTCAAAATTGTAGTGGGATGTACAGAACAAGTAAGCCCTTGACGATCAAATTTGTAGTGGGATATATAGATCATTTTGGACGAATTTTATTAGTAACCTCAGTTTCTTCTTGGGTTTTCATTGATTTTTCTAAAAAAACCTAAGGATGATTGGAGTAATATCTTTTACATCATAGATTAAAGAAGGGAATGAATACAATTGAGCATATAATTCTTATATAACTAAAAAACCTGGGATTTCTTTATGAAGTCATGTCCTTTCATAAGTGTGGGACCAGTCTCAGAAGCACTTAGGTTGCGAGTGGCAGCAAGAAAAGCTTCAATGATATAAGCAATATCCCAAGATTGAGTACCCAGACTCTGCACAGTATGATGGCAACAGTCCAAACTCAGCGCCTCATTGTCTCTTGGAGAACCATATTCAGCAATTAAAACGACTATATAATTTTTTTAAAGGAAGACTCCACGGTACCTTATTAAAAAAAAGAGATATCGGTACAATCTAAGAGACACTATGATGACTCTATATTATATTTAAGGGTACATAATATGATAAGGTTCATGTTAGTGACAAAGAATGATGTGATTTATTACGATAATAAGATTAATAGTTACATTGTGGACGTCCTATACATTGTCAAGGTAAGTTTGTGTACTTCAACATGATTCAATTACAAAATTCCATTTATTGTTATACCAATGACATACTATTATAGTATAGACATTTGTTATTAGGGAATGTTATGAACTTACAACATTGTTATCGTGTTACAACATAAACCAACATACAAGATCTAAGGTAAGGTTACACCGTAATAGTTCAAATTTACACTACCCAGTTACCTACTTATAGTAACGTTATATTCAAGGGGTTTTTGAACATTAGTCCTTGAAAAAAATTGAAATTAAAAAAAAAAAAATCTGGTGTTAGATACATATTGATTTTAATTCTTTAAAGTGTACCTTTATTAAAATTCATATTCTATTTTTATTTAATGTCTTCATTAAAAATTTTGATTTTATTAATATGCACATTTTAATTCTTTCAGTTATAAATAAACCTAAATGAGAAAAACTTTAAAGAAATTAGTGATGCATTAGAAAAATATGTAATTACATAAGTTTGCAGAAATGATCCCCTTTTAAAAGAAAAAAAAATTAAGTTAACGTGTTTGTACCTAAATGTCTATACCTAAATGTTTGTATCGAAATACATTATAATGAATTAGTATACCTAAATATTTCTACCGAAATATTGCGTACCTAAATTTTTGTACCGAAATATATTTATAATGAGTTAGTATACCTAAAATATATGTACCAAAATATATTATAATAAATTACTTAGACTTGGAAAAAGGAAAATTATGAAATTACCAAAAAATAAAATAAAAATGACATAGAACATAAATACTAACATTTAAATAAAACAAGGGACTAAACTCAATTTTGAATCTTGTATCAGGCATTAAACTAAACCTCATCTTATTTAAATATTAAAATCTATTTTTCTACATATTTTTTACTACCACTAATGATATTGGTATCTCTATACCAAGGTTCCGCTTTATGGTGTGGACGTTAGGTTACACCGTAATGGTTCAAATTTACACTTCAAAGTTATATAATTATTTTATTGTTATATTTAATTACACCAAATGATGTCGGTATTACCATACGTACATTGCTCTTTAGGGTCTAGACGTTAAATTACATTGTTAAAGGTAGTATATTACAGTTGAACGTTATTGCATTAGAGTTTAACATTTAAATTAAATGATGCCGGTACCTTTATTTTTATTTAAGTACTGTAGATGGATCCTAGAACTGAAATTCAGTAGTAACAAATTCAATATATACTAAAACTGAAAATCAATTGAAATACTGTTGATAATAACATTGTAGTTCCGATTTTTTCCTTGCTTAGTTTGTATTATTATAAGTCTGCCATTCTGTCCGCTGAGTTCTTGAGCCGTCGTTTACTCTCTTGGACAGCACAGCGAGAAAACTCAATTTCCTCCTCCACGTCTACGTTCGCTCGACTTCAATTCGAACCAAAAAAATCTCCGACAGCCCGCACAACCCATCAAACCCTAGAAATCATTTCTTTTTTTGGGCATCCGGAGGGCTCCTCCTTATTTGTCTCTGCTCTTTGTTCTCTCCATTCGATTCAATTTCGGTGAGTTCTTCGTTGATCCTTGCCCTCATAGTTTCCTAATTTGATTTTCTTGGGTGTCTTTAGCCGTCATTTTGATCTGGGTTTTCTGAGTTGTTGCTTTTAGTTTTTGGGTTTTAATTTTTTCGGTGGTTTGATGAATCTGTGTGCGAGTATTTGGTGTTTTGTTAATTAAGTTGTATTTGGGGCCTAGGGTAAGCTCAGAAACTAAAAGAATTGAGTTCTACTGATGAAATAGGTTTCTTTTGGGAATGCTGTTAGTAGTTTGAATGGCTTACGTATAAACATACATTGAACTCCTTCAATTCTATTCCTTTATGAATAGTTTAATTGATACGGCCTATTTGTTGATGAGATAGTCTATCAAAACGTTATGTAGTTCTACCAAAAGGTTATGGAGTTCAATGCGCGAGGAATTATCTGCATACCTGAAGGATGAATTTAAGGTAAATTATACTAAAGATGGTAGTAACTCATCTCTACCTCCTTCCCCTCTACTTGCACCAATTGTGACAGATTTTCCTTTTTGGTTCTATCTCAGGAGTTTTTCAAAGAGAAAGTTCGTGAACGAAAGAAATCTAATCCAGAGATATTTTATTTTTTGGCAGATATATATCATGCATTATATTTGGGTGTTTGAACATGTTTGTCTAAAAGTATACTCTGTTTTTTAGCGTACAACTTTTTCTCTTTCCTATTATATATTTTATAGGCCAAAGAAGCCCAGAGAAAAGCTATTGAAGTAAGAAGTGAAGAGCTAAAGCAGCATTTGAAAGTATGATTTAAGTTTTACTCTGTACTTACACAAGATACTCCTGACATTTCAAATACAGTAACTTCCCAAACACTGATAATTTGGTTTTCTATTGGTATATGTGAAACCAGCTTGATATACGTTACAAGGTTGAGGGTTGAGGATAGTTGGCAAATAACAAAAGTAATTTATTGTCTAGCGTATATAATAAAACCAACCATAGAATAAGAGTGTCGTTTTGCTCTAAGTTTTTGAATTAATGTAAGAATGGTTTTCTTATTTAACTTGCCAAATGCATAAATAATTAGATTATTCTGTAGTATTTTGCTGTGGTGGTATTAATTTTTTTTTGAGTACATCGTATTTTTACACTAAAGGGAGGAGGAGTTCGGCTAAGCCACACAATGGAAAGCCTAATTTGGTATCGAATTCGCTATCCACGAGATTTAAACCTAAAACCTCTCACTTCCAGGTGAAGATGAATACCACCAGACCGTAGTACTGAGTGACTTATTCTGTTTTTAGATGGCTTAATCTGGCTTATTCTGTAATTTTCATGTCTAATTAGGTACTAATGTTTCTACTTTCTGTGTTCTGTAAATTTTTTTGGTCATGAGTTGTTATTAGTTTCTATTGACAAGGAAATGCTTGAGTTTGCAATTCAACCCATAGATTTAATGTAATTGTATTTTATCGTATTTATGAGGAAATCTATATACGGTCTATGACAATAAATTACTAGCCTTCATATTGGTTTGTTATAATTAATTTGGAATGGTTGGTTTCAGCAGCCATCTAAGAAGGAACAAATTGATGTGGAATGAGATATTGCCAATGCCAATGAATTGTGGAGCTCATTATCGATTCTTGGCCTGATGCAAGTACTCCACTTTATGTTTTTCTGTCTGCCATGTGTTTTCTTCTTTTGTTTAAAATAGAAGTCTTAGTTCCAATAAAAATATAACCTCTTTTAACACTTTGTATATGCATGAATTACCCCAAACTAGAGTTACTATATTTTATGCCTCTTTTCTTTCTATTTTTGTACTCAAGGAGGTATTTAATATGTCATAGAAGGTCAAAGGCCTTTGCTTTAATTTCCAAATCATCAAATTGAATGTGCTTATGTAATCTTAATATTGATTTTATTTATTTATTTATTTTTATTTATTAGTATTTGACTCTTCTCCAATTCTCCCTTTCGACCCTTTTAATCTTCTTTTGTTTCGATTTTGATAATTACCAAGTTGAAATTTGTAATTAATAAGTTGGATTTTATATTTAATTTAATCTGTAAATTTTGTAAAATATGCAGGGGAAGTTCAAAGTCGAGAGGGGTACACACATATTAAGCATATGTATCTCAGTCGGATTGTAGATTTTGTATGTAAATAGTATGTATCTTAGTTCGATTGTAGATTTTGTGTGATTTTTAACAGGACTATCAAATCTTTTTCATGTAAATTGCATGTAATACACATCAAGTAGTACTAGATACAAAGTTTTTGTATGATTTTCAATCCCACAACACCGCGCGGGGCATTCCTTGCAAGTTTATACTAGAAGTGGGTGTGCAATACCAACAATAATAAATTTTGGGGATTAATAAAAGAAATAAACCCTCCTTATTTTATGAAAAATGCTAGAGAGACTATAATTTGTAAATCATTTTGGAACCATTTCTCTAATGCTTTTATTAGATATATGGTTTAAATGTCGTTTACAAAATATGGTCCCTCTATCATCACCTAATATTTAAACAATATTCCGACATTGCCTCTTGTTTTCTCTATTTTATGGGCTGTACTAACCTGCATTTTCATGCCATCTTCTGCAACCCATAGGAAGTCTGGAACCCGAGCAAGATGCTTTTTGAAAGAATCACCATCGGGGTCTTCAACCCAACAAGCAAGCATGCATAGTGTCTTTGCATTTCAAGCCGTATAAATATTTTAGAAGAGAATCAGAAAAACAAATAGTGGCATAGTGCCTTTCCATTTCAAGTCGTATTAATTATCCTTACTATTTTATTTTTATCACAAATAATACATGAAATTAGTCTAACCCTAACAAAATGGTTTCTAAAATAAAACTCGATCAATGTCGTCCTTAAATATGAATGCTGCAAATCAATACCATTCTTCCTCCTTTTTACCATCAACTATTTTGTTAGCATGACGACATAGCATATGAGTGGGACCAATATGGCCACGCGAAACCTTCTTAAAATCATGATTTAAAAACTTAAAAGAAATCTAAAGATATAAAAATAATTATAAGTGCAATTTGAATATCTAAACTACTTATTAATAGAATCCTCTTTGTCAATCAAAGAGAATGAAAATATTATTTAGTCTTCTATCACAAAAAAATGATAAGCAATAATTTAATTTTTAAATTTTACTGTTTTTAATTTAACTCACACCTAAAAGTGATGTTAAGATATATCTAATTAAAAAAATAAAAATAAAAACCTCCCAGGCCACCCATTCTCTCTCTCCCCCTCTCTCCCCCTCTTCTTCCCTTTTTTTTTTTTTAAAAAAAAAAAAAAGTGTTCTTACACACAAAGTGTGTAGACACAAATACAAGTTAAATATAAAGAAAAATGTTTGGAAAAAAAAAGGGAAAAAAGTGTAGCAGAACCTCAACTACCAAAATCATCCCCTTCCATTCTTTTTCTTCTTATTCCATATCGACCACTACCCGGTATTGGTGTGTCCCGCCGTCCTCCACTTCTTTCGTCCGAAGATAAAACTCATGGCTAACAGACCCGCGACGAACCGACGAACCCGTGTACTTTCAGGCCTTTCTCGCCTTCTCCAGACGCTATGCACGCAACAACTTCTCCTGTCTAAATTCAACCCACGATAACCTTCTCTAGCGGGGATTCAAAGGGAAATTTTCAAACAGCTATGAGATTTTATGCTTTTCCACTGTTATCATCGAAAAAAAATTCCTTTGATAAGGGTACTGGACCCAATACATGAATTTTTCACAAATCATGAGTAGATTAAAAAAAATATTTTTTAACTGCTTTTTTTCTTTTTTATTTATTGTTACTATAGAATTTTAATTAGTTTGGTAAATTCTTTCATTTTTATTTTTAATCCATTTGACCCTATTTAATTAAAAATGTCCGGTGATATGTGTGCCATGTGAGCACACTAGTAAAATATTTGGCGAAAATGAATGGAATGATGATATTGATTTGGAGCACTTATATTTAAAGACTACATTTATCAATTTTCATTTTTAATGACCATCTTAATGAGGTTGATCAATTTCAGATACTATTTATGATATAAACACCATTATTAATTACCTTTTCTACACTTCCAATGGTAATATACCGACTGCTCTCATCTTCATAATGTATGTGTTTGATTGCTTCTTGAAGAGCTTTCTCTCTCAACTTGGTAAAGGGCCAAACGTTAAGAAGAGGCTCAGTAATCATGTACATGGAATCCCACACCAAATCTTGCATCCATGGATGGGGAAAGTATATGTCCACCTGCATGCATGTATTATACAAAATTTTCAATCTCGTAATCCCACATGATATGTACATCCTTAGTGTGAAAGACATTAAAACTAATATGATAAGTAAATGAGATACATCTAGCATTACTCTACTATGAAATAAATCATGTATTCTAATATATATATATATATATATATAGTATATGTCCACCTGCATGCATGTATTACACAAAATTTTCAATCTCGTAATCCCACATGATATGTACATCCTTAGTGTGAAAGACATTAAAACTAATATGATAAGTAAATGAGATACATCTAGCATTACTCTACTATGAAATAAATCATGTATTCTAATATATATATATATATATATTGTTGTGAATAGAATAACTATTTAGAAATATGATTGTGTAAACTTAACACATAATCCTAATACGATTTGAAGACTAAATCCTCATAGGTTTGTATCACTTGTAAGGCAAGAAAATCCATCATGATTAGTATAAATAAAGGTATAAGGCCAAGAGGCGAGGGCATAATTCTCATACACTTAAGCCCTTCTCTCTAACCCACTTTTTAAATTAGTTTCACATCACGCCATCAACACAACATGTCTCTGCAAGAAGGAGAGGATCTTGAAGAAAACCCCGCGAAAGCTTTTTCACCATTTCATCAACATCCAAGTAATCATAAACCCTAATCTATTTGATATCAATTTAATTTAGGTCATGATTACTAAGATTACTATTCTGAGTTATATGCAAGTTATATGTTGATGAATATGTGTAGGTATATCAAGAAAGAAAGAAAAACGAAGGACGCCAAAACCCTAAATTGCAGAAGTTGGGGCTAGAGTCGCGCTAGTCCTAGCCCAGGTCCAGACGACATGTCGTTTGGCATGTCTTCTTCTTCCCAATCTGTCGCCGCCTCCCTGCTTTGTGCAATCGTAAGGGCTGCGATCCCAAGACACATCCGACGATTTTTGTTGTCGATGAATACATGTTGAGTGAATATTCATTCTAATCTCGAGCCCAAAGTTGCGAGCGTGCCATTTAAAAACTTGGGGTTTTTTTCCTAGAAGCACACACACCAACCATGTTGAGAGTTGTTGAGTTTTGGTTTCAATATTTGTTGTATATTTCATTATGAATGTTACAAGAGAGTGAATGCAACTCTTATAGAGAGCCAAAAGAAAGCTACAATAGATTGTAGGATAACTACACAAACACAATCTCTAAAATCTGCCCTCACAAGTGGAAAAGCAAAAACCAAATTACAAGTAAAGAAGCTTTTACAAGCAACTAAGAAATGTTGATGTAAGGTGAATGACAAGCTATGGAAAGGTTGATGTAAGATGAATGACAAGCTATGGAAAGTGAGGTTGATGTAAGGTGAAGGACAAGCTATGGAAAGGTTGATGTAAGGTGAATGACAAGCTATGGAAAGTGAGGTTGATATGGAAAGTGAGGTTGATGTAAGATGAATGACAAGCTATGGAAAGGTTGATGTAAGGTGAATGATAAGCTATGAAAAGTGACTTTAGCCTATGACTTAGCTAAAGTGAGGATGACAACTTATACTTACAACCCATCCATACAAACCAGTTTCAATACACCCCCTCAAGCTGGATCAAGGGGATTAATTGATCCAAGCTTGCACAACAAATGTTGAAACTGAGTAGAGTCTAGTGCTTTTGTGAATAAATCAGCAAGTTGATCGTGGCTTTGGATTGAACTTGAGCACGAATATAATGGCAGTCAACTTCAATATGTTTGGTCCTTTCATGGAATACTGGATTTGAGGCAATGTGCATGGTAGCTTGGTTATCACAATACAAGGACGTAGGTGTCATGCTTGTGAATCCAAGCTCGGAAAGAAGACCTTTCAACCATATGAGTTCACAGGCTGTTGCTGTCATAGCCCTATACTCAGCTTTGGCACTAGATCAAGCAATAACAGTTTGTTTCTTGTTCTTCCAAGTGACAAGGTTCCCTCCAACAAATGTGCAAAAACCTGTTGTGGATTTTCGATCAAGGGCATTTCCAGCTCAGTCAGCATCTGTGTAGGCCAAGATGTGATTTGATCCATTGTTCTTCATAATTATCCCCATTCCTACTGAGCCTTTGAGATATCGAAGTATTCTCTTGACGATTTCCCAGTGAATTAGAGTAGGAAAGTGCATGAACTGACTGGCTATACTAACTGAATAGGAGATATCAGGCCTAGTAATGGTGAGATAAATAAGTTTCCCAACCATTCACTGATAAACACTAGGGTCCGAGAGAGGTTCACATTTTTCATGCCACTGAAGTTTGCTAGCTAGGGGTGTTCGAGCTGGTTTACATTCCATTATGTTAGCTTCATCTAGAAGATCAAGAACATACTTTCTTTGATTCAAGAACAATCCATTTGAAAAGGTAGCTGCCTCAATTCCAAGAAAGTATTTCAAGAGCCCTAAGTCTTTAATGGCAAATGTTTGGTGAAGTGACTGCTTAAGCGTATTGATTTCACTTATATTGTCACCTGTAATAATTAGGTCGTCAACATATATAAGTACTACCAATTTGCCAGCAATATTACTTCGAACAAACAAAGAAGAGTCAGCATGACTCATTTTGAACCCTGCAGCTTCAAGGACTGAACTAAGCTTCGAATACCAAGCTCAAGGGGACTATTTGAGACCATATATGGCTTTGTGAAGTCTGCAGACCTTGTTGGGTTCATTTTCTCTTGAATGACCAGGAGGCAACTTCATGTACACTTCTTCTTCAAGATCCCCATGAAGAAATGCATTCTTCACATCCATTTGGAATAAGGGCTATGCATTATTGACTGCCACATACAACAATATCCTCACTGTGTTCATTTTGGCAATAGGAGCAAATGTCTCCTTATAGTCAAAGCCATAAGCTTGAGTAAAGCCTTGAGCTACTAATCGTGCCTTGTGTCTTTCAATGCTTCCATTGGAGTTGAATTTGGTCTTATATATCCACATATTTCCCACGACCTTCTTGCCATTCAGAGCTTGAAGCTCTTTAGTCATAGCATCTTGCCACTCAGGCATGCATGTGGCTTCATGAAAATTCCTTGGTTCGAAAGTGTGAGACACTTTGTTAAGGAAAGAAGTATGAGAAGATGAGAATCTGTGATAAGAAATGGCTGCAGAGATAGGATGCCTTGCAATGTAAGTAACATACTCTTGTAACCTCACTGGTGGATGTCTATCTCATGTAGGATTTCTTCTTGGTGCACTTATAACTTGCTGATTTTGTTGAGCTTCTGATGGTTCAGATGAGCTTGGCACTGCATCAGTTACACTCTCAGTGAGTTGAGAATTATCAGTGCTGATATGAGCAGGAGTGACTTCATGAATTTCTGCTGGAATAGGTAGTGGAAATAGGTCCATAAGATCTTCCATATTAGCATTAGTCTCTAACCCTTTGTGGAAATAAGGTGAATATTCATCAAATCGCACATCTCTAGAGACTGCCAGCTTTCCCGTGTTATGGTTGTACACTTTGTAACCCTTTTAAGAACTTACGTATCCTATAAACACACATTTGACAGCTCGATGGTCTAGTTTGTCACGATGGAGAGCTTGAATATGCACATAACAAGTACAACCAAAGGTCCTAAGGTGAGACAAGCTTATAGGCTTGCCCTTTATGACTTCAAAAGGAGATTTAGTATTCAACACCCGAGTTGGCAGTCTATTAATGATGTATGTGGCAGTGAGTAAAGCTTGAGACCAAAATTTCTTAGGAACATTCATTTGGATCATAAGTGATCGCGTCTTCTCCAATAAGTCTCGATTCTTTCTCTTTGCCACACCATTTTGTTGTGGTGTACCAACACAGCTAGTTTGATGCAAAATGCCATGATTGCTCAAGTAATTACTCATGTTATTGGAAGTGTACTCGGTACCATTATCTGATCTTAACATATATAACTTAGATGAAAATTGATTGGTGATTAGGTTGTGAAAGTCCTTAAAAGCATCAAACAAATCACTTTTAAGTTTTAAAAGATACAACCAGGTTACTCTAGAATAATGTAGCATAATATTTATACCCATCAAAGGATTCTACATGAGAAGGACCCAAAATATCAGAGTGAACAAGCTCAAAAAGTTTACTAGTTCTAGAATTAGAGGAAACAAAAGGAAGTCTAGTGGCTTTTGACATTTGACAAGTTTCACACTCCAATGTGTTTTTACAAAAAAAGGGAAACAACTTAGTCATCACATGTTCTAAGGGATGGACAAGGCGTTGATGCCAGAGTTGGTGTTCCTAAACTTGACTTAAGTTAACACTGAGTTTTTTAAAAAAATTGGACTCCTTTGAGAGATAGTAGAGTCCATTCAAGAAGAACCCTTCACTAATCTTCTTCTGAGTAACTCGGTCTTGAAACACAACATTGTGAGGGGAAAATATGGCAAGACAGTCTAAGGTTTTTGTGATTTTTCCTATTGACAAGAGCTGAAAAGGAAAAGAAGGTACATAGAGAGCAATGAAATCAGTATGCTCACTTAACAATCTAATATTTCCTTTCCCTAGAATAGGTTCCCCTTTCCCATTTGCAACAGATACATGAATTGGATCAATAGTTCTTTGAAAATCGTGGAGACTAGAGGGTTTATTAGTTATATGATCAGTGGCACCAGAGTCAATAATCTAAAAATCATGTGTAACATTTGCATTAAGAGCATGGAAATGGCACTGATAATACATGGAGTCTTGCCTTTCAATGTGTTCTCCGAGTCAGCTATGAATCCAGCAAATTTCCCTAGCATTGCAGTAGGGTTTTCAGGTGTCATTTCATCAGGTTCAGTGCTTCCTTGCTTCTTTTGAAGAAAAGCAGCAAACTCGTTGATCAAAGGCACAAGATTTGTTGAGAAATTGGCCATCCCATCAGTTGAGGAACAAGCTGAATGAAATGCTTTTGTAGTGACTCCACCTTTCCTATCTTTGATCATCATGCCTTCTTTATCAAACTTATGCTTTAACTCCGGATGAAGAATCGAACATTTTTCACTCAAATCTCCCTTCATGTTGCAATAAGAACATTTCCAGTCTGCTTTCTTGCCAAGCACCCTATCACCAGTTGCTTTATGATTTGTTATGAAAACCCTAGCTTCAGAGTTGGATTTGGGCTCAACGTTCATCATTCTTTGTCGAGTTTCTTCTCTCTGGACTGCATGACACACAGTGGTAAAGGATGGCAGCTCTTGAGTCATTAACAAGTGACTACGCAGGTCTTCATACTCCGCTCCCAAGCTTGCTAAGAGTTGAAAAACCTTGTCTTCATCAGCCCTCTTCAGTAGCACAACGAAATCAGTCGTGTGTGGACGATACATATCGAGTTCATTCCACATGGATTTCATACTTCCAAGGTGTTGAACAAATGAGTGATCACCTTGCTTTAAACTAGCCATACTCTTCAATTGAAAGATGCGAACTGAGTTGATTTGGCTGCTATACATGCCTTTGACAGACTCCCATAGGAGAAGGGAAGACTCTGAGTAGCTGAAAAGCTCAGACAGTTTTGGCTCCATGGAGTTAAGTAACTAGGACATGACCAGCTGATCAGTAGTATGCCATGCATCGTAAGTTGGTGAAGTGGATTCTGAGGGCTCAAAGCTTCCATTGATAAACCCTAGCTTCGATCTTCCTCCTAGAGCAAGTGACACAGCTCTTGACCAAGGAAGGTAGTTGAACTCGTTCAGTAGCACCGAGCAGAGTCGTTGATTTCGATTGTTCTCAACCTCTTGGGTTAAGTTTGGGGAGGAGGATGAGACATTGTCGGCACTAGACACGTTTTCTTCTGCCATATCTATCGATGATGAGCAAATGAAAAAGTAAAAAAAAAAAAAAAAAAAAACAGAGTCAGGACCCTATGGTTCCTGCTCTGATACCATGTTGAGTTTTGGTTTCAATATTTGTTGTATATTTCATTATGAATGTTACAAGAGAGTGAAGGCAACTCTTATAGAGAGCCAAAAGAAAGCTACAATAGATTTTAGGATAACTACATAAACACAATCCCTAAAATCTGCCATCACAAGTGGAAAAGCAAAAACCAAATTACAAGTAAAGAAGCTTTTACAAGCAACTAAAAAACGGTTGATGTAAGGTGAATGACAAGCTACGGAAAGTGAGGTTGATGTAAGGTGAATGACAAGCTATGGAAAGGTTTATGTAAGGTGAATGATAAGTTATGGAAAGTGACTTTAGCCTATGACTTAGCTAAAGTGAGGATGACAACTCATACATACAATCCATCCATACAAACCGGTTTCAATAAGAATTTTTGACCTTTATGATGTAAATCCGTTAAACCAAACTTTGTCTCTAGAATCTATGGTTCTAGCTATAATGCCTATGAATTTTATTCAAGGCACTAGTTCACATTTTGGTTATTTACACAATGTCGAACATCGCTAAGCTCGATTTCACCGCTTTGGAGATATTTGGAAGAAACTATCTCAGCTAGATTCAAGACATGAAGTTCCACCTCATTGCAAAGTGTATTAGAGCAACCATCGAGGCTGAGAAACAAACAAGTGAAGTTGAGAAGGCAATCATTATGATCTTTATCTACTGCCACATGTATGATGCATTACAAACTGAATATATGTCGAAGGAAGATCCTCAAACTCTCTAGCCAACATTAGCCAATCGATTTGGTCACTAGAAGTTGATTAGTTTGCTTGAAGCTAGGCATGATTGGATTAATTTGAAACACCAAGACTAGAAGACTGTGAACGAATATAACTTCGAAGATAGAGCATTGTTCAAATGGTATATTGGTTCACCAATCGAACTACATCCAAAAGGTGTGCCACTTAATGGAAAAAGCAAAACCTTCAACTACTCTTATGGTTGCTCAAACTCTAGATGCAAAGCAATATCAATTTCTTCCTAAATATGATGAAGAAGAGGCCTTGGAACCTGAAATTCCTTACCTAAGTGCAACTAGAGCTTTATTGTATTTAGCTCTATACATTAGACTGCACATCTTCTTTGTTGTGAATCTTTTGGCAAACTACAATAATGGCCTACACGCAGACACTAGACAAGTTTTAAAGACATCATGCACCTTAAGGGTGCAATGGATATGAGCTTATTCTATCCCTACACATCGCCAAGCGGATCTAACTCCCTGATCCTCAGAATGAAGTCCGCCTTGTTGGTTATGCAACACTGGTTATTTATCTGACCCGGACAAGGTTCATTCTCAAATAGGTTATATCTTTACTGTTAGAAATACAACAATATCTTGGAGATCAACCAAACAATAGTTGTTAGAGCTGTTATGTTTTTATTTAAATATTTTAAATATATTTATGATTTGTTTTATTACAAACATTGAATATAAAACGTAAATTGTTATTAACCTTATAAATTGTCATTAACTTTATTATCAGTTCAGGATCATTAATTCACTAGAAATGTGAGAAAGCTTCTCACTTTAAAGATGAGATTCTTTCTTTGAATAGAAAAAAAGATCAAATCTATTTTTACATAATTTTTTATTCCGTTGTGATTTGGACGTTTTGATTTAGTCCGTTTTGTTTTCTTCTGCATTGATTACTTGCAGCTTTCTTTCCTTTAAATCATTTACATCCCCCAACGTCTCTTTTATTATATATATATATATATATATATATATATATATATATATATATATATATATATATATAAGTCCGAAGGATAAAAAATATATATATATAATAAGAAAAAAAGACAAGTTTTACAAATATTGAGTTAATAGCAACATATCGAAAAGGTGTGAGTTAGAAGGTTTTTCCGTTGTGCAAGGAAGAACCTTATCAGAAGAAGGTTATGGGCTGTTTTATCCTGGGGACGACGTGATATTTGTGAATTGCTTGCACACTTTTGGCAGAGCTGCGAAATGTCTTCAAGAGAGCGAATTAGTTCGCAACTCATCCCAAGAATCATTCACCACTCAAAGCTTCTACATTTTTCGGGTAACTTCGTTCCTTTCTATTTCAGATTCAACAATTTTAAGACGTTTCAATCTCCCATGAAATTGTGTTGACTGTATGTTATGTGTTAAATAGAATTCCTAACTCAAAATCGAATATCTCTCCTTATGAAAATTGAAAAATAAGAAACCAAATGTGTTGTATTTCAGAACTTGGGGTTGTTTAGCTTATGTTCGTAAACCTGATCCAAAAAGATCGAAATTGGCTAGTAGAGCATATGAATGTGTTTTTATTGGTTATGCATGTAATAGCAAAGCATATAGATTTTTTTATTTGAAAAACCATGTCATAATTGAGTCACTTGATGCTAATTTTTATGAGATTAAATTTCCTTTTAATCTTTGAAATAGTGGGGGTTCTAATTCTTCTAAAATTTATGAACCTACTGTCAGATACCCCTTTATGGGAGAAGAAGCAAGATGATTGAGAAACCTATTGTCATATACCCCTTTATGGGAGAAAAAGATTCCAGTCATACACGGTCTGAAGAAAATTTAGTTGATCCTTTGACGAAAGGACTAACATGAGAAAAAGTTTCGAAAAATCCTTTGATGAAAGGACTAACATGAGAAAAGGTTTGGAAAACCTTGAAAGGGATGGGACTAAAGCTCGTAGAAAATTGAGTCATTTGTGATAGCAACCTAACCTATAGACTGGAGATCCCAAGAAAAAGGTTCAAAGGGTAATAACAAGTCGCAAGTGATATGAGTGAAGTCTTGCTAATTTTAAATTGGAAATTATTTCATGTCCCTCCCTAAGAAGCATGGCATCCTGAAGCGTTTTTAGGTTGAGATTTTTTCTCTTAGTAAGGTCTATACTTTATGTTGAGTGGGATATCTACTGGACTACCGTAGCAAGATATTTGTGAGATTTTTTTATTTTTTTTTTGATATGCACATCTACTATGAGACTCGTGTTAACAATTACTGTACCTGTCGAGAACTGACGAAAAAAACCACCATCTCCTAATCATTATGTGATTACTTCTTAAGTTGTACACACTTAAGGAAGAGTGTTTGTGAATAGAATTATTAATTAGATACTTGATTGTGTAAACTTAGAATAGAATCTTAAAAGGATTTGAAGACCAAATCCTCATAGATTTGTATCACTTGCAAGGCAAGAAAATCATTAGTGTAAATAAAGATAAAAGGCCAAAGAGTGAAGACACAATTCTCATATGCCTAAGCTCTTCTCTCTCTGCCGTCTCATCTCTCTCACCCATTTTTATAATTAGTTTCACAATGTATATATATAAAAGGGAAATAAACGAATAATTAGCTGACCTGTGCACATAAATGGCGAACTTTGCCCCATTTGATTTTGTTGTGAGGCTGAATGTAGAGTTCTTCCCTCAACTGTAATATGAGTGGGGTTATTCGGCCGACGAACTTTTTTCCATACAGATACGACATGGGCATATACGTATTGCGGCAGTAGCACATCATGTTGGCTGCAACATATACAACACATATATTACATGGTGAAGAAATAATTGGGTTAGTGTTCGCTGCAACTTATATACAACACATATATTACATGGTGCAAAAAAATTGGGTTAATATATAAAGCCACAACAGAACTTGTTAATAGTTCAAACACACCATTTTGGAGTGCATGCTAACAAATTCGGAGTGTGAAAAGAAAATTAATACTTGGTAGAAGTAATGAGCTTTCGTGATCACTACATGCTGTAATCATTTGAGGTTGTTAGAATAATTTTGATTACTGAGTTCTTTACGATCGTGATTCTAAAAGATATTAAACGCTAGTCGGATGGCTAGTTAGAGTTTAATGCCTAGGTGGCCAAGCGGGAACCTAAAATTATTATAAAACATGAATATTATTTAAAGTTATTGAGTTCTTTTTAACTAAAATTATTATTGGCCATCTATTCTGTAAAAAAAAAAACCTTGGGCCTGATTTAAAATATAAATAATATAAATATATATATATATATATATATAGAAAATGGTGGAGTGAGTGAAGGTGACGGCTAATGTTGTATAAAATGACACTTGATTTAAAAAACCCTAACCACAACATTAGCCGTCACCTTCACCCACCTCACCATTTTCTATATAATATATATATATATATATATATATATATCAAATGACACTTGATTTAAAGAACCCTAACCACAACATTAGCCTTCACCTTCACCCACCCCACCATTTTCTATATATATATATATATATATATATATATATATATATATATATATATATATATCAAATGACACTTGATTTAAAAAATCCTAACCACAACATTAGCCATCACCTTCACCCACTCCACCATTTTCTCTCAAAACGGCGAGGCGATCTCTTTTCTCACTTTCTGCAACTTATCCCATTCTCCACTCTCACTCTCTGATGAACCCACCGTCACTCCCTTCCTCCTCTTTTCAGCCAAGTGAGGTCTGTGCAGAACCCAGAACCCATCTTCTGCAGAACCAATCTGTCAAAAGTTGCAAAGACGAGTTGCAGATGGTGAACGGCCGGTGATGAGATTCCTGCCGATGGTGAATCGGAAATTGTAGAACCGCCTAGACCGCCGCCTAGGCGGCTGCCTATTTCCTCCCCCTTTTGTGAACGCCCTGACCAAAATCACAGTGGAGCTCTGCCGCTTAGGACGATTTTTAGAACACTGCTTATTATTACTAAAAATGCTAAATGTTTTAAGACCATATTCTGTAATCATATGATGTAACGGTTGGTTGATGATTGAATTTTTTTTTAATGGTTTAAACAAGGTGATTTGAGATTTTATCTTCTTACGGATTCAATATTCTATTCAATTATTTATTTTAATCTATTAAATAAAAATAAAATAATTCATAATCATCCAATTAAAGTCAATCGAAACCAACCCATATGAATCTAATTATCAACTGTGACATATAGTTTAATTATCAACTGTGACATATAGTTCAAGTAGATGACCTATCTGGCCTAGTATTATCCTTGCTAAAAAATAGATATGTGAATCATTTCACCTTTTAACCTTCTTTTATATTTAAGGAAACTAATGAAAAAGGTTTGAAAAATTTGAGTTTTAATGATAAGGACAAAATAAAGGGTAAAGTGAATAGTACCAGGATTAACTTTTTAGTGTAAAAATGTGGTTTTTTGTTAAAGTGAATAGTACCGGGAGCATTTCGTTAAAGTTCCCTTTATATTTACTAACACATATGGAACTGAAAAAGTGTGAGTTAACTCTTGAAATATATAATCAAATACCTAAAATTCAACAATGAGATCAAACTAGGGAGGAACTGCTTTATCTAATACCCTTTCCTTGCTTTTCTTTTTTCCAAGTTTTCTAATTCGTTTTTCCCTCCCACTTTTGTTAAGTAAACATCTTTTTGTTTGGGTTATTATTGCACTTCTAATGTCTACGTAGCTTTGTTGACCTTTGTCCATAGGAAATGAAAGCATATAACCATTTGATAATAAATTATTCAAAGCGGAAAGTTATTAAGCTAAGGGACTAAGCAATTTAAGTTAATTATTAATCAATCTTTAAAGCTTCTTCATCGCATCTTCAGAAAGACAAATTTCTAGATCCATCACCATATGAGTTCATTATATATAAGTTCATTAATAAAGCAGTCCAAGTTGAAAGACCAACAACAATGTTTTTCAGGAAAATGTTGCACTTTTAGTTGAACATGAAGGAATACTCTTCATCCCAGCTTGCGCAACAGAGAGAGAGACGGCAACCTTATTAAACAATTGTCCATATGTACCTGGATGTATGGGAAGAATAGAAGGAAGTATCCAATACTCGGGAGGCATTGGGTTGCATCCGGACCAGTCAAACACTCCAAGTATCTGCATCAAAAGAAATTGGATCAGTTCATAAGTCCATGCGCACGCATAGACACATACATGCATGTGTGTTACGTATCATATAATACTTTACGTATGTATATATGATATACATAGAAGAATGCTCTCTTGGCAGAAAATACTTACATTATGTATAAATGTCGAACTCTTAATTTGGACCACACTTTCAAATAAGAATACATTTGATTAATGATATTGACATTCATAGTTAGTTTGATTACAATCTACAATATTTGGTATGTTGTCGTTTGGCCACAAATTTTCACAAAAAAATTGGAGATATTTTGTGTGCTAAATTCTAGACACAACCACAACAAAACCCAAATCCACTCTGAACTATGTGGTTTGACCCCCCCCCCCCCCCAAAAAAAAGAAAAAGAAAAAGAAACTCCAAATCCACCAAATTCAACCCAAACATAATCCCTGACTCGCTCGTGACCAAATTGAACCGAAACAGAATCCCTAGCTCACCAAATTTGGTCAAACACCACAAGCACCATAACCAAATGGCCAGCATCAACATACAATTGAACTACGAGTTGACTTGATTCAAATCAAAAGAGATACGTAGGCAACTTGGGATTTATTCCAAGTGCAGCTACAAAACAAACACAACCACCATTCACCTCAAATGGCGGTGGAATTTCCGTCAACAACTACAGTTAAAAAGAACTGAGAATAATGTATAAACACTATAGATTAGTATGAGATACTAAACTTTCTTTTCGAATAAATTACTGTATAACTTGTGTACTTGAAAAAGGCCACACTACCGAAAGCCAAATCTTTCCCCAAGAAAGTATATTGGTTACACCGCCATGGTCAAGAATCCACTTTCTTCCTCTAGCCATGCCGTTGTCTTCACCTGCATCTGGTCCTTCTCCAAGCAAACGCAAACACACATAGTTGAAAGCCGTACCGAACATGCTGCTATGGCAACCCACGGCTAATCCCCATCCACCATCTTTGTTCTACACACATATATAAAAACTCGTTATTCAAGTAGCATACAGATCTTGGACTAGCTGATCATTAATGACAGAAAAAAAAAGGAGAAAATTTCAAACAATATAATAAGTATATGTGTGTATATATGAACCTGATGATTGTATATGCAACGCTTAACTTCTTTTCGATGTTCTGCAGATAATACAACATTAAGATGTCCAGTGATGTACAGACACATGACCTGTAAGAAGAAAGAAAAATTGTAGTATTTAGAAATATTGCATAATGATCCACTAATGAGAGCTCAAGTTTATGAAAAAGAAAAGAATTGATAATGAGGATATATATGTGTGTGTGTGTGTGTGTGTGTGTGTGTGTATTTGTGGTGAATTTGAATTACCAGAGTAGGTGTGTAAAACAATGGGCCAGAAAATTCAGCAGGCCAATGTCCGTGGCTTGATTGCAAGGCTGCAGTGAAACGGACAGCCCTCTTCAATGCTGCTGTCGCAGTTTCATGTGTGATTTCCTCACCTTCCTGGATCTTCAATGGAGGAATCGTTTGCTTGAAATTTTTCTCTCTTAAACACTGCATTAGTTAGTTGTAAGAAAATGCCTTTAAAATTAGCAAGAATAAGGGTTGTGACTCATGGTAGCTGGAGGCTGTGAGGGTTGGAGCTTATTTAATTATCATGCTCCTAAATAGTGACAAATATTCAGGCTCCGCCACTGATGTTTCTTTTATCTTTTACTTGGCTAGCTAGAATTATCATGATAAGTCTAATATTTGAGCCAAATTATGCACCTGCATTCTCCACAGTAAGTCACTGCTAGGTTTGACCTGGAATCGGTTTTGGTGGTAATTTTGACGAGCCTCTTCAATCTCAGCACGCTCTTGAGGAGTACCTGCATGGGGGTCAAACTCCCATGTCTGCCTCCCCGTGAAGTTGTTTGTGCTGAACAAAAATGGATCATTTTCACCCTCCCCAATTTTCAGCCTCCACATTTTCTTCCTTTGTTCTCCAATGCATGCAAACAAACAACTATATACACATACAATCTCTACAACAAAAGAGAGGGCAGAAGTCACTGTCTTTTTCAAACGCAACCAATTGCAGTCAATGAAACTTATTATGCACGACATGATAAAATGATTTAGATAGCCTTGTCGTACTAGTACTAGCATACGACAGAGCCTCAGGATACTTATGCACATCATTTTTCACTTTTTGAACAAGAATGACTTACGAAAGAGACTTGGCTGCTGAAAAATCAGCACAAGTCAGTGATTCGCTCTCAACAGGAAGGGCTGCTGATTCTTTGACTTAGATGGAATGAGTTCACCCCCACCACAATGTTACAATTCAATTTCGTTTCACGTGTCATCGTTAGAAAATGGCATATAAAAAATAATAAGTGGGAGATTCACTGTTAATATTCTTGTAGTGCTTACTCTTTTAAGGATTCTTTCAACATTGTTGTGGAGCCAAAAATAATCAAGAGACAACATGTGGATTGTAGGGTGAAAGGACAAAATTACCCTCAATGACCACCGGAATTCCTACGCGCGAGCAGTGGACAATCATCCCACAATCAAGTCAAATGTGGCCAAAATAGGTATTTATTCAAAATCTATTTCATCCATCCTCATCAAATCTTCTCCACAAGGTAACCCCCAAAGCATTCATTTCAAATCATATTAATTAGCTAATTAATTGATTTATTACCTAATTAATCTATTGATTGGCTAATTAACTACCAATTTCACCCAAAAATGCCACAAAGAGCCGGTTACCATCTCTCCAAAGGGGGCCGGCCATGCCCTATATATAATATCCCATTTTCTCTAAAAACCTAAGTTCTACATTTTTGTTAAATTCTCCAAATTCTCCATACACTTTTCCCTCAAAATTCTAACTTTGACATCGGAGGTTCTTCAACCAAAGCCCTCCCCCCCCAAAAAAAATTCATTGTGGGTGCGTGAGGCTATTGGCCTTAACCTAAGGTGTTGTTTTTTTTGTAGGTGCAATTTTGTCCAAGAACAAGGAGGAAGAAATTTGCATCCACAAATTGGTGTTTCATTGAGAGTTGAGTCACACACTCATAGAAGACTTTCGCATCTAAGGTTTTTTGTTTCTTTGCTTATTTGTAGATTTTTCGTATGTTCTTATTCTTGGAATTTTTATTTCTAAAAATTCTTTGATAAAATGTAAAAGAAAAGTACAATGGCAAGAGATTCAAAAACCTCGACAAACGGAAATTTCAACGTTCAAGAAGGCTCAACATAGTGGTGAGTGGAGCGACACCCCCACGAGACACTACCATGGCAACCACCACGGCAGCCACACTTGGCAAAACCCACCGCTCCAAAGCCACGGCCTAAGCCGTGCCATTTCAACCTTCAAGGGCCCAAGCCTTAGCCGAGCCGGCCCATGTTGCCCAAATCCAACATGAGCCCAATGCGTTGCCAAACCAAGCCCTAGCCTCACACCCACGTGCACCACACGCCGAGCAGCCCACTTTCGTGGCCTAGCTTGCTCTAGCGGCCCAGCCTGCTCCCGTGGCATTCAAAGCAACCCAAATCGGTCCAAGATTAGGTCAACCGCCCCAACTTCAAATTTTTGGGCCTACGGTTGAACCGCGGGCATTTTCACTATATTTCTCTACGAATTTGACATTTCCCAACTCAAATCTCGCTCACAAAGTCCACCACACTTCCACATCTCAATGAGACGTATTCCTTTCAAGCTCTTTCAATCCATATGGAGAACTACACTTGTCTCGACAAGTCATAGAATTGACGAGCGTCCTTGCACAACAGACAACCTTGGTGAAAGCTTTTGCATCGCACCGAGATGCAATGTGCCCCAAACAAGGTGTCCCGAAGTAGGACAAGGGCAGATGAATAACATCTCCAGCAGCGTCCTGGTAAGCAGCCACTCAACCAGCCATGAACTGAACATTCAGGCAGTGTACACTCCCAATTAGGCCCCCGAGATAGCATATACTCCCATCTTAGCGTGTGGATAAGCGTGCACTCTTGGTCAAGCCCACGGACGAGTATATACTCACAGTTAGGGTCACACTCTAATAATCAAAATGAGCAACCTTCCAGGCAAAGTGTTCATTCGCGACTAAGCCCGTAATAAGTATCATCCACCTCACATCAGAGTCAGCAGCACAACGAACGGAGAGAAGCAGTCACTCAATCCAGCTTAAGTTTAACCATTAGCCTGTGAAGAACTCGCTCGCCTGCTAGGAACACACCACATGCACCGTAGCCACGGCATAGATGAGCCAAACAAATGGAAGAGCAGCCTAGACCAGCAGGTCACGATTGGGGGCAGCCGAGAGTTCCACTACCCCCAACAAAGGCGAATTCAGGAAGAAGTAGAGAGGCTTCTGACCAAGCAATTGCACGATTTCCTATGCAACGAGGTCATTAACGAGACACTACGACAGGACATGACCAACATAAGCAGGTTACCCTTCACTGGCTAGATTGAGCAGGTAGAATTTTCATGCAAGTTCAGCATGCCACATTTCACATCCTTCAAAATGGATAGAAACCTGGAGAGACACCTAAAGCACTATTGAAGCACAATGATCCTTTATCGAAACAACGACGATCTCATGTGCAAGACATTCGCTACCACTCTACAAGGTAAGGCGCAAGATTGGTTCTACATCCTGCCGTCACAATCCATCTGGAGTTTCGACGAATTTTCTTTGATTTTTACCAAAGAATATTCATCATATTGCTTGATTAAGAAAAAGTCCTACCACTTGTTCAACGTCAAGAAGTACCCAAAGGAGTCGCTTCACGACTATGTGAAGAGGTTCAAAGCAGAGAAGGTAAAGATAGTCAGATGCAATGACTCGATAGCTAGAGCAGCCTTCCAAAAAGGACTCCCAACAGACCACCCGCTGTTCAGAGAATTGATCATGAAAGAATTTCTAACTCTAGCATACTCTTTCGCTATAGCAGAGAAACATGCACTTTGGGACAAGGTTCGCCGATGCAAATTCAAGGCAAATCCAAGCGATCTTGAATATGAAGTCTACCACTACTCCGAAGGAGATTCAAGGTCTGACTGGACGAGCAACCACATCTGAAGTAGCAATAAGCTCTACCATCATACGAGAAGAGTTAGGGGCCCGACTACCTGTATTTCACAGTTCAAAAGCTCTCCTCGATGCTACCAGAAATTCAAAAGCTAACTTTGGCAATAGTTGTTACAACTCGGAAGCTCAAGTTTTACCTTCAGACGCACGCAGTCATCCTTATGATGTGCTATTTCGCTCAATTCAGATGCGCGATGATAAAGGCGTAGACACTGGTGGATGCAAAGTTTTCTGACGAACGCAACAAGTCGGCCTAAAAGGCGCGCCAAGGGTAGCCGAACACTAGAAGAACGCACTCGGAAATAGGTTTTGTCCTCATCGTCCCAAAAGATTATACATAAGAGCAACATGTACCGGCAGTTGAACACCACCTTCTGCTACGTATCACAGGGCCCCAGCCGACCCTTGCTCGATAATTCAACTCTAAAGTGGCCAAATACCAGTAGTTGAGCATCTCCCACTGCGTGTAACATGGCCCCAGCTTCATAGCTTCTTACCACGCATTCACAACACAACAGGGTGACCCAACAACGGCTTCACAGCTCCCTACTGCGCCTTAACGTCGAGCCTAGGCGACGTAACAAAGTGGCCAAAAAACGCCCTGGAGGTAGCCGAGCACGCCCTAGCCGCGCTTACTCCACCCAATGGAAACTTCTGGCATTTGCATGTCAACGACGCATCTAACTACAAAGGTTCGGGAGCAGACGTGGTCCTTGTCACCTTAAATGGTTCAATGCCCGAATAGGCGATCACTCTAGGTTTCAAAGCATCCAACAACGAAGCAGAGTACGAGGCACTACTAGCAGACATCTGAATGGTAAAAGACTTGGCGATGAAAAAGCTCGTAATTCATTCTTATTCCCAGTTAATCATTAGCCAAACTACTTGAAGCGTTTCAGACTTACACCCTCACTCAAGTTTCGTGGGCAGACAACGCTCACATGGATGCACTAGCAAGCCTAGGCTCCACCCTCGACCACCAACTCAAACGCTCTATTCCGGTGAAGTATCTAGACAAGCCAAGCATAGAGACGGAGCCACTAGCCGAGGTGTCACAGGTTAGTACAACTTCAAATTGGCAAGATTCCATTATAGACTACCTGGTCAATGGCACACTCCCCATGGAAAGATTAAAGTCTAGAAAGCACCAAATAAAGGCAGCACGCTACTGTATGTAGAACGACATTCTCGTCCGAAGATCCTACACTAGACCACATCCGGTGCCTAGCGCCTCCAGACTACCTAAAGGTTCTAAGCTCAATCCATGAAGGCATTTGTGGAAATCACTCAGAAGGCCACTCCTTAGCACATAAGGCTCTAAACGCAGGACTAGACTACCATGCACCAAGACGCTAAGGAGTTAGTACAAATGTACGACCGCAGCCAACGCTACAAGTCGTTACCAGCACTGCCTGCCAGTAAATTACACTCGCAGACGAGTTATTGGGCGTTCATGCAGTGATCAATCGACTTGGTAGAGCCAATGCCGCTCGCTACTGTGGGCAAATGCATGACGATCGTGACAACCGATTACTTCACTAAATGGGTAGAAGCAGAACCCATGAATACCACAACATAAACGGACATAGAGCGCTTCATATGGAGGAACATCATTTACCGATTTAGCATCCCTCAATCCATCGTCATCGATAACGGCCCACAGTTTGTGGGCCAAGATCTAGCGAAGTTCTTCCAAAAGTATGGCATCAAGAAACACATGTCCACCCCGAGATATCCTCAAGGCAATAGGCAGGCCAAAGCATCCAACAAGACGATCATCGATTGCCTCAAGAAATCCTTTTCCGACAAGAAGGGAAAATGGCCAAACAAACTCCCCGGATGTCTATGGGCATATCGCACCACCAAAAGACGAGCAACCGAACAGTAAGAAGATGGCCATAAG